GAGGCGGCCCCGAATCGCCTCCCAGATACTTCCCATCGTGACTTATTCGTCACTCGAATGCAAGCTTTTGGTCGAGTCAATGGGCAGGATACCAACTGCACAAACAGACTCTCCACACACGTATGCGTGGATCGCCTGCGAGGAACAGAGGGTATATCGACCCAGCACAGCAGAATCAAGGAGTCCATCCCCTGAGTCCACCTGCGCCTCTGGGCAAGTACCGGTGACTTTTGGTCGGCGATTAATTCCCCTATCCGCCACCTGGGGAAGCCCTACGTAGCCTCGTCACTAACCGGCTGGAGATCCTTCAGTGAGAGAGAACCCTCAGTGAAGGAGATCCATAGGTTGAGGGAATATAACTGTAAAACAGCGATCGATAATGGCAACCGATAGTGACCAGTCTCGACTTGTACCGCTCGACATGGAGCTACTACTCACTACCGATTTTTTCGAGAAGAAAAAGGAAAGAGGGATGATAATCCTGTGTGTGACGAAGTGTATGTCGGTGTATCTTTGACTGGAAACTCATACCGTGGACCTTGAGCGTTCAAAGTCGGTAGGTGTACAGCTGGCAGAATGGAAACACTGATGGCAGGTGGGAAACTAGACTCTCCTTGAAAGAGGGAGAGATGTAGGCGAAACTTATCAAGTTGGACCAAGACCGCACAGATTCGATAGGCGTACAGGCAGCAGTACGGGAATGCTGATGGCAAATGACACGATTGAAGAAAGAGAAGAGGGAAAGAGCAAAGTTACCTTAACACATATGAGTTGAGCAAGATCCGCTCATAAGGTGGGAGGCGCTCATGTGCGGAGTTCTGCTCAACTCATGTGTTTAAGTGTGTGTGTGTGTTTGGCCGGAAATTTATAACTCTGTTTTCCTGCACCGGAGCGTCCAAATTTGGGAGGGCGTGGACAGCAGGAGAACCTTACACGGAAAGGAGGGCCCGAAATTAGACGGGTGATCCAACTGGTAATTCGAATAATGTGCACATTCCACTGATTTCTGATCGGAATTGCATTCATGATACTTTGAGAACAGCTCCCGAGATTATGATCGAACAACATGAACATTGCTATTAATTGCTTCGAAGGAGCATGACTTGCTAAAGACTGCTGCCCTAAAGTTGCGTGAATGAGCTCACATCGAATTTGGACTTTTCACCTCAGAGTGCCGGAACAGTTTTTAAGATCAGCAATGAGCGCAATAGATGCTATTGAAATGCATAAAAACTCGCTACAGTAATCAGCTGATAACCTACTTGTCGATGAATAGTGGTATGAGTGGACTACTTACTAACGAATCCTAGACGGAAAACTCTGAATAAAATATTTTTTGGGCGACAGAAAGGAAGGTGTCAGAATGGTAAATCATCTCAAGGATAAATAAATAGCAAGGAGTTACAAAGATGCATGACTTTGTCCCTGAGTATTCAAACGAAATTCAACACAATGGCGACCATCGCGCTAAGGGAAAGATGAATGACAAAGGAACAGCGCTTATTCTTCACCAGCAACTGCAGCCCTATGTGGACTTCATGGCCCAACATAGTCATTTTTTAGGTGCACTTGCAGATATTAATTCTGATTGCATTCGGTAGTCATTCAACAATGAGCTCAATATGTACAAGAATGTCAAAAATTCCGAGGAGCTTACACGGGCTTTGCATCTGGTCGATTATAGTGAAGATACTAATGGCGGTCCTAATTTCAGAATACCTCACTTATTGAAGTTTTCCAAAGGCTAATGCATGAAGTACTATGAGGTCGGCAAAAATTACTGCATCGATTAGTCGCAGGTCCCTTCCAGGAGAACCATTTCAAGCATAGCCCTAAAAGGAACGCAGGAAAAAAATCATTTCAAGTCCAGTTCTAAAGTGACGCAGGTAAAATGTCAAATTTAAGATTTCTCAATTAAAAGATTTCTAGAACCACGTAGTTATAGCTTCACAATTGGTCCGGTTTATCTATTATGCACCACTGCTCTGTTCAGCTACTTCGGATTAAGCGGAACTATGGATACCACTACTTTTGGAAAAAGGCATGCTGTATGAGGACTAGCCAATAGTCAGCTACATGACATATTGATTTGCCGTGTAGTAAACCTATGTTCCCTCTTGAATTGATTGGTTCTTTTCGGTATGGTCGTGAAGAGGCACCATGTAGAAGGTGTGAATTTTGGAACATTGCACTACAGACATTTCTTCGGGTTGCTTTCTGCTGTTTTTTTTTTACAACGGGGCGATTTCACTCGGGTGGCTTTGATGTTGAGAGTACAATAGAATCATTAAATCTACGTGGAAACATTCTGTTCTAAATAAGTGTGATGAGTTGAGCGTTCACCTGAACGGATAACAAGAGGTGTGATTAAAGGTATCAGTGGAGAGGGGCGCAACCTGCATCTCCTGTCTGAAGAGCGCCTACACTGCACCATGACAAATCTCGATGTGCCTCCGTCAACACTCATTTTAAGTGGCACTATCTCCAAACTCTGTTGAAGCAAACTTTAAGCGCTCACATATATTCTTGGAAACTCACCAAGTTGTTCACAATCGTATTGAACTTCCAAACTCTATCAGTTTACCTTAGTCGCCATACATATTAACCCTTTGACGACAACGCGCCTTCTTGTCTGGCGCTCGGGACAGACGCGTTTCGAAGCTTTCGCTTCCGCGGCTCACCGCTGAGCCGCGCTGTCCCTCGGTTGATACATTTTTCTAATGTAGGCATTTTTTTGCTTTTTTTAAGCGTTTTTTATGATTTTGTCTGAACAGGTGCAAATTAGGCAATTATGAGTTCTCAACTTTAGTTAGGTCTGGTTTGATGCAGTATATAGTTTTGGGACTCAAAATGGATCAGTCTGGTCATGGACGATTTGGAGGATGGCTTTGAAAGATTATTGGTCAAACCCGACGAATGTATAAGTGAAGAATGAAACTTTCAAAGCTATGCTTTGAAGATGTCACTCATGGAGAACTAAGATTTACTCATGATTTAGATTCAATATTTACTTCGGTAGGCAGCCTACAAGCAAGGACTCAGCAGCAGTGCTTGCTGCATTCATGACTAATGGGCGGACTCTTGAATCAAGGAATGCATTTCTGTACCGATAACTGAATGACTTGCTGGAACATAGCACCCAATTGTCCGACACTCGAAAAGGCGAAAAGGAATACTAATAAAAGTAGGGGCAGTTGAAAGGAGGGCGAGTTCTCAAAAAATTCGTTACAAACAACTATCTCGAGCTTCTGGAAGTGTTCATGCCCCCACAAGGAGTGTGACTTCCAGGGAGACAATTGAATTTCTTGGTAGTTTGCAAAAATCAGCAATGATTTCCCTAGCCCACTATGTCTATAGTGGTATTTGGCGATTGCGAACCCATTAAATACAAAAAACTCCGAGTAAAACTAGGAATCGAGAAAAACAACCGATGAGAAGGGGTCCACCGTTGAGCCGCGTTGTCGTCAAAGGGTAAAACGGGTAAGTGAAACACTCCCCTGGTTTGTGTAGACGGAAATTTCTAGAAATAATTAAAGCTTTCAAAACATAGATATCCTGCATGAATTGAATGAAGATTCTCATAGGGCATAAATCAGACGATTCTGTAATACATACAAATTTTTACCACACGAGGTGGCGTGAGCAACTTAATTCTATCCTTGATCAGTTAGACCACTCATTATCTGTTACTTCACACGAAGGTGAAAAATAGGTCTAACACTTTTTTTGAATTCGGCAATTCCTGATAGTCCTAGCGATAATCCTTAGAGACTTAGACCTACTTAATACGCATATAGTTAACTTCATGAAAAAAACAACATTGTACGATAATGTCGTAAAAGAATCCGTGTTTCAGTGAACTAGGATATCATGCCCAAAGACAGTTTTAGGAAGGATGGAAGTCGCTCTATTTATAACTGCTTAGATCCCACCAAGTAGGCGCCTTTTTATCTGCTCTCCCTATTCCTTTCCTCTCCCTCATATGGTCCTTCCGAGACCCTGATAAGCACGAACCATTCCCTTAATCCCATGCACTTCCAACAGCTGCAGAGCAGGAGGTAGAGTTAGATAGGCAATAGGATCGTCGCAGGACACGAGCTTATTTCATAACCAGAAAAAATAAACAGGCGCCAGTTGTTTCGAAGGTTCACACCTACCCATGAAAGAAGTTATCACGTCTTCACAAGATGCGTATCTCCTATGGATGGCCTAAAATAATGGCCAACAGATGTGGTTCCGTTAGTGTTGTGAAAGATCAAGGAAGTTCCTGGGTGTGGTGCAGTAGGAAGGAAATTGTCGCGTCGCGGCGAGAGAGAAGCCGCGTGCGAAGGAATGTAGCAGGATATAGCAGCAAGTAAGAAATTCAGGAACAAAAGAACTAACGGTAGAATCATGCCATGAGTAATAATCGCGTAGCGATTGAGCTGTATGAAGATAGCTAGAAGGGTTATAACGAGGCAAATAGCTCCGCGACAGCAGCGTGCGGCGGATCGATTACACAAAAACGTTCCTACTGCCCGTCTCTCGAAGTTCCTTGGCTAGAATAGTATTATTATGTCTGCGGGATTTAAATGTTTGTGAGATGAAGTTCATCGACAGTGTCGTCGCTTTGCATTGCTATATGAAGCCATCGTTTTCATCCAGCCCCAGAAGGCCCCATTAGAAATTTGAGGCGTTTCACAAGAGCAGCTTCAGCAAGGGTCGAAATACTAGGCAAATGAAAGTACGGAATCAAGGAAGCGGATGTAGATGCTTTGGTGTAATATTTTCCATAAACTACAAATAGATCAGGTAAAGCTGAAACTAGGACTCATGGGAAGTGGAAAAAACGCAAGACAAGGTAACAGCCACTGGTCATGAATTTCAGCTCTAGATGACTTTATCCTACTCTCAACAAGGAACCCTAAAAGGCTCGCACAACTTCGAGCCTCCTAGCAAAATGATATTTCGAACATTATAAATCGCAGATCGACACACAACGAAAAAGTGGAAAAAATCACCTCTGCATTGAAATGAAGGATGGCCTGCATAATCGACGACTTTAGATGTAGCAAGATGGGGGCAGGCCAGTTGGGCATAGTAACACCAATTAACACATGGTGGTTCACGCCATACAGAGATGGTCTGAACGAGCAACCAGAGCTTGTACCACGACTGAAAGCCAACGAATTAATTCCATTATCACACCCAAAATTTCATCTTTCCAAGAGTCGAATAGATATGAAATCTTAACGAACCTCGACTAGAGAAAAGATTATTAAAAATTTTCTTCGATTGGAAAAATTCAGAGGAAAGCGCAGATTTCGTCTACTCTATAGTCTGCCTCATGTGAAAAAAATTGTTCCCTTGTGTTCGCATATTATATTAGATTTGACACGTCTAGGAAGTAGGCTGCTGTACGAGGTAAAGAGATAATCTTGCCGGGGAATAGAAGGATGGAAGGCGTGGCTGGTTCCAAACCGGAATTCGATTCTCGAACCATGGTAGTGAGGCCACTTGTCACTACGCTATCTCCGCCCATACAGTAGCGCTCAAAAGTATTCGGCCAACTTTAACTTGCCGTAACTTTTTTCCCAGTGGAGCAAATCGCATGAAATTTTGATATGTTCAACTGAAGCATATTCAACACTATCCAACACTATTCGACTGCAAAGCAGCAATATCCACATAACTAAGGGGATGACGTTTGTAGACTATGCTGAAAGCAAGCTTGTCACTTCTGCAGTTATTCGCACCTTATATGCGTTTTTATCCTCTTCTGTGTTCCGCATTAGCACTCGTACACTTTGGACATGGCAAAAAAGAAAGAAATCCTAGAAGCGCTAAGGCCCTATTTTGGTTTTGATTTCAAGTTCTTTGGGATAGATGGAACATGATCAAAATGCAGGTCAATAGTGGTAAATATTCACACTACACCAATGCTATTTCGCTTGATTAGATCCAGTAGGAAAGGAGTTATGACTGAAAAGTACTAGTGAAGAAGCATTTGGCCGAATACTTTTGAGCGCTACTATATATATTTGCATACTAGTTGGGATATCATATGTCCACGACAGCTCATCCACGACGGAGTCATTCATCACAGTGTTGGATTATCAGAATAAGACAGTTCTTCCTAGATTTGAACGCTGAAACGTTTTGAGAGCAACTCGCTCAATATATTTTTGCGCAGAATTATTAATGGTTGAACATAGCAATGTCCATCTTAGTACAGATCTCACTATGAAAATTCGACCAACCCTCTTTGGCTGTCCCTGACCATTTTCTGCGTGTTCTAGAATGTTTTCAATCATAGCTACAAATTCTCGACCTGAGCCCCGTCCACCTCCGTGCAAATCTGAGTGAGTCAGGTACTCGACCAAATTTCTTCCCTTACCTCCAACTACTTGTTTCCCACGTTTGAGAACATTTTTGAATAGAGCTATGAATATTTGGTCCTAGCCCCGCCCACCCTAGTGCAAACCCCGCCCACTTTTGGATTTTGACCACAGACCTTCTATAGCCTCCAATCACATTTCTATCGCATTCTAGAACGTTTTTGAACAGAGTGGTGATTTTTTGGTCTCAGCCCCGCCCACTTTGAAGCATACTACGCCCACCCTTGAGTTTTGACTACAGACCTATAGCCTCCGACCACTCTTTAATCGCGTTCTAGAACGACATTTCTTTTATAGCCTCTGTCCACTTAATTTCCACGTTGTAGAACGTTTTTGAACAGAGTCATGAGTTTTTCACAAGGACCCAACATTCGAATGCATGCCCCGCCCATTGTGGACGGAGCTTCGGCATACTTACTTATGCTCGGAACGCATGAGGCCTTGCGCACTTCGTTTATTTATTTTTCTGGCCTCCACTCTTCCGATGGATCGAATTATAACCTTATGTGGGAAGTACCGCCCACTGCTGAAACGCTCCGTCTGGGCTGTTTTGAATCCTAGTTCAAATACTTTGCTTAAACACGGCCCACTGTCGGGCATGCACCGCCTCCTGTAAGCGGAGCTTCGTAGAGCTCACAAGTGATCTGTTGGTCTTGACTTATGCCCGAGCCATCCCAGGCTCTACCCGACTTCTGCGGCTTCCTCAGGTTATATCACATTTTCGTACAAACAAACAATCAAACAGACGAACAGACAGACAGACAGACGCGAGCGTTTTGAATTTATGTAGTAAGTATATTCGAAGCTTGAACCGAATGTTCTGCCTATAAGCGCTCCTTGAGTGCTCCCGCGCATGTTTTTTTCCAAAGGTTCGAGGAAGCAAACAAGAAGGTCTAACCAGGGAATGGTTTCAACTTCCCATGGAACTTTGAATAGAGACTTAGGTATATCGATAAGGTTTGAAAAGCCATTAAAAAATTTAGAAATTAAAAATGCTGAGTGAGTCTACCAAAAAAGTTGTGAGCTCTCAAAGTTTGCATGCGCAAAGCATTGAGAGATAGTGCCAGTTGATATACGCAGTTGCCCAGATGTCTCGCGCAGTCTCATGCAAGACGAACATATCGCTCCTTTGGCTATCCCTTTCCCGCTCTCCCATTCCTCTTCCACATTCCATAACGTCGAAGAAGAATGAACGGCGCCCGGTCCCGATATGATCACACCAGAACATCCAGAGTCTTCCATCGGTCATTGTTAAAACTCTGGCTCGGCTCTTCTCGCGGCACCTGTCGGAATGCAAAGTGCCCACGCCGTGAAAAACAGCACGACTGTATTGCTGTATAAGAAGGGAGATCCAGACGATATTGGCGATTATCAGACAATCTGCCTGCTGTCTGTAACCTATAAACTATTCACACACGTCATCCTCAACAGGATTGGCATAACATTGGTGAAGGACAACTAGCAAGGTTCCGGGGAGGGTTCAGTACAATCGGTCACACCCACACTGTCAAAAGGCTCATTGAAGTATCGGAAAAGTACAGGATGCCGCTATGGCTAACGTCCATCGATTTGAATAAAGCCTTCGATAAACAAAAGAAGAGGCAATCGAAACTTAGGGCAACGAGGGTGTTACCAATCAATATCTAAGGATGCTTCGTGAGCTCTACGACTTCACGACCAGGATCCCGCCATTCTATAAAAAGTCATCATCAATGTAAAGAGAGGGGTTCGACAGGGCTATACTATTTCGCCCAATTTTTTCAGCTCCGCTTTCGAGAACATCATGCGTCATATGGAACGAGAAGGCATTGGAGCGAAGGTTGACGACCGCCATTTACATTATCTCAACTTTGCAGACGACATCGTGCTTATAACATTGAACATTGAGCAGGCGTAACCAATGCTGATCGAGTTTCACAGTGGTTGTGGAAAGATTGGCTTAGACTGAACTTAACGAAGACGATGTTCATAAGAAACGGAATAGTTCCTGATGCTCCTTTCACGCTGAACAGGAGGAATATCTCTGAATGCTCTAACTACGTATATCTAGGTCGGGAAGTCAACATGATGAAAGACCTAGTTTCAGAGCTCAGCAGAAGTAAACGCGCCGCCTGAAGAGCATTCACGGATGTCGAGAGAGTAGTGAAGAAGACAAAGACTATCCAGCTTTGCGCTCACTTTTTCGACACTGCTTTCCTTCCTGCTTTGACGCACGCCTCGGATACTTGGACTCTACGAAAGCAGAATGAACATGCTGTCCACGTTACTCAATGCGTTTCGGGAAGGACAATGCTCGGAATTCCTCTACACACGTGAGTGCAGGAGGGAATACCGCCCGCAAGAGGAAAATCTATGATCACGGGACAACTGGTGATACAGGTGATTCTAGATATACATGTGCTTGAATAAATGTACACATCAGTCTATCTAATAATACGTATTGAATTATATGTCAAGAGTAGATCTGGATAAAGAAAACGTCGAGTTATGTTTGGAAAAATAGAGTAAAAGGGTCCCATTTGTTAAATACAGCCGCAAGAATCTCTTTGAGATTTTACAATAACAGGTCAAGGACACCATGACGACGAACATGAGATGAAGGTAGAGTAACAACTAAAAACTTCAGAGTAAAAACTAGCAAACGTGGAATTACAAGAGAATGATATGGATGAAGGAAAAATAAGATAAATTACAAGAGAATGATATGGATGAAGGAAAAATAAGATAAAGTCTTTGATGATGAATTCTGCTTCGGAAAAGTCCACTGCATTTGACTTCCATTCGGAATCTAGTGGCGACTTTGTATTTGAGATATATAATGACTTACAGTGTCCAGCCGATGTGCAAATCGGGGCTTTTACCCTTCCAGACAAGTCTGGCACCAATAAACCGACCTCCAGGGAAAGGAAGCTAAGTTGGCCTAGACGAGTATCTTTCTGAAATCGATCCTAAGACCATGTGTGTGTATGTGTGTGAGGTGTGCAAAAAAAAAATGCGTATAAAATTGATTTCACAGAAGGTAACGGGAAGAGTCCTTGATATTAACAAGAATTCATCAATGACAAGGTAGCAAAGAACGCCAGATACAAAAAACCCGTTCGTGTTCCACAGCGACAATGAAAAGTATATTGGCAGCAGGTATACTGTACAAAGCACTCCAAGCAATTACACACGTCTGGGATTTGGCCCAAATAATATCGTACAACACCCTCCCCAGTCGCTTCATCAGTGAGCTGCTACGTGGCGATCCCTCTTATAAAGGGGTTGAAGCGGCACGATCAATCGAATGGTGTTCACCAGCAATGAAAGACAGGCAAGAAAGGGAAATCCTCTGCATCATGGACTCGAATAGATGCTGATTCCACTGCGCAAGCCCCAGTCCGTCATTCCTCAAGCCCAATGAAAACATTCTACACGTAAAGCGTTACTTCCAGTAATCGGCGGTGCCTGTTTTAGGCTCAAACGATAGTCACCTTGTTGTGCGAAATTCTAGTCGTTCAAATCAAAGTGTTCATCCATAAATAATCTAATGTTTCAGCTCCAAAGGTTCATGGAGGTTGTTGGCGTATGCACGACGGCAATATACTTCACACGCACAGTTCTAAATGATATTTAGTTCTGCGTGCTATCCACTCCATTAGCCAGGAGCCACTCGCACATGCATGGAGGCAGCGGTGTGGCAAGATATTGAGAAATCGACTGAGTAAAAGACCTGTGTGGAAGAAAAGGGCGCGGATGACTATCTGAACCTTTATTCTCAAAAAATATTCTATCAAA